CAACAGAGATGTTGTGATCTTCAGAGTTTTAAGTGAAAATCAATTGATTTTAAAACCATTGACAGATAGTATAAAAATCTTTACTAGAAAAAGTACAAACTTTTGAATTATTTGATGGTAGATCATTCTCAGAGTGCCGTGTTAATCACAATACCCTTGTTAATAAATAGAAAATATCTCATACAATTGTTGATTTAAGTAAGATTTTCAAGGTGTCAAAGTCCGTTTAACAAACGTGTAAAACTTTAGACGAATTTGACTTGCCGTTTTTTTCTTACGGCTACCTCACGAAAGTATTTGTTTTTCTAAAACTATTTTTATTACTTAATTAATATTTTCATGCCGATCAATATCATTTGACTACAAGTTATTTGCTCTAATTTTAGCAATTGGAATTTATAAATGCCTATCAATTATATTTTAATCCAGAATTGGTATTCAGACGTTTTCAGGTACTGATTCTTTATTTTGGAAAGAAGGTGAGCGATCTATTCACTATTTTTTTTATCTACATTCTAGTTATGGAGATTATTAACAAATTTCTGTTACTTTGGACCCATTGGATTTAATTTTTTTTTTAACATTTTGTTTACGTATCGTTATTGTCGTCATTTAGAAGAAGGAAGTTTTCGTGGACGTGCAGCTGATTTTTTATTTATGTTTTTATTTGGTGGTACATTAATGACTGTAAGACATAATACCTATCATATATAATGCTAATTTATTCATAATTATCATTTTCTAGTTAATGGCATTATTTGTAAATATTATATTTTTGGGTAGTGCATTGACCATTATGCTTGTTTATGTATGGAGTAGAAGAAATCCATTTGTTAGGTAAAGAGTTGAGAAATTCAATTTATTTATTAATTACAATTATTTTGTTGAATTTTCATTTTTAGAATGAATTTTTTTGGACTTTTAAATTTTAATGCTCCTTATCTTCCATGGGTGCTATTTGCTTTCTCATTATTACTGGGAAATTCAGTAATTGTTGATCTTATGGGTAAGACTTTTAGAATTATTATTGATTATCTTTTTAACTTATTCAATAACGTATCCATATTTAGGTATTGCTGTTGGTCATGTGTACTATTTTCTTGAGGACATATTTCCTCGAGAACAAGGTGGTTTTAAATTACTTAAAACACCAAGATTTTTGTAAGTTCTTAGAAAAAACTATTGTAATATATAGAATAGAGTGTAATTAATGTTTTCTATAATTGTAGACATTGGTTATTTGATGATATCTCAAATCGTGATGAACCTGATGTAAGACCGAATGCAGGAAATGCAGAAGTTCCATTTGGCGCCGGTGGTTTTGTTTGGCAATGATAAAAATATAAGCAATAAGTCATATGTAGTCACATTTATTTAAATATTCATAAATAATGTCTCATATTATGTCAGAGAATTCCAAATGTTTATGCACATCTTGGTATAGTAGCTCGACTGTTGACAAACTGCAATATGTGCTCATTGGATACAATTGTTATGACAGGTGATATTTTTTGACTATCAACTTTTATAATTCATATTTGTTATATATTTTTTGTTTTTTCGTTTGACTTTTATAAAAAAAAACATAATAAAAGTATACCGGATTTCTACTAAATTTTTAAAATTGAAAACAATATTATCAACGTATTATCACAGTAAAATATAGATGAATCTTTATTTTACGAATATAGTTTTTTGCTAACTGTATATTGGAAAAGATCAATAAAAAATAACTTTAATGCAGCTTAAAATCTGTATGAATGATTTGTGTGATTAAGTATTAAATATAAAAGGTGATTTTAGTTCATAGTATATGTGAACATATGTTTAATAATAAATCGTTTTTTCAACAATTAGCATGTATTACGATGACTGACTGTTTAACTTCCAATATATTCATGTCTTCTCATTTCCAATTTAGATTTCAATTAATATCTATCTTCATTGATAAGCTTGCATGTATGTGCCATTGACTATCAGTATTTCCTTCAATATATTTTTTCTTTCCTTTTAATTGAGTTATATTTGTACGTAAACGTGTGTCCATTGTTTCTTTACTTCACACATATTCAATGGGAAAGGCAAGTTTTCTCCTCTCTCTATGTCTTACCATTGACATTTTGTCTGATAAGTTAACAAGTTAAACTCTTATCATATTCTTTCTATTTAAAACATAAATTAGTTTCGATAACGAGGCGGGAAATATTGATTATCAGGGGAACACCTCAATCCGGTCATTATCCCATCAATTTAAATTCACGTTTTAAAACATACATACATTCTCACATAAAACGCGATAAAACCACATTTCATTCAGTTAAACATGAACATGTTCATCTTCTCAATTTAATTGCATGCGTCTATGACAATGTAGATGAAAATTGATTTAATTGTTTCTAAAAAATAGTAAATTATACAATGATTATCACAACACGTGTTAGAATAATTATTAGTAACAAACAAACTGTGTGCTATATTGATGTAGATACATTACTAATAACATTTAAAAGTTTCTATTGGAATAAGAGTTTAATCTACGTTCATTTTCTTCTACTGTTGAAGAACCATTTTGACAATTAATGTTTTGTTCTACAGTTCGAATGTTGCATGTATAAAAGACAATAACTGGACGATTAATATTAATTTATCATGGATAGATTGCATGTTTACATTCTGAAAATTTCAACACAATTTATTTTTCAATGTCAATGTAATAACATGAAGGACATGAGGGGACATCATTTTTTTAATATTTAACCGGATAATACAACAAAAAATTAACTTTTCAAATTTATCCTGCTAATAAATGATAATGATCTACCATCAAATAATTCAAAAGTTTGTACTTTTTCTAGTAAAGATTTTTATACTATCTGTCAATGGTTTTAAAATCAATTGATTTTCACTTAAAACTCTGAAGATCACAACATCTCTGTTG